TGAAAATTTGATAGATTGTTCACCGAGGTTGGCCTACCAATCGATCAAATTTGTACGATAAGCGGTTCATCCAGCTCGTGCTCTAAAAAATGTTGAAAATGAAGTTGTATCTTCGATGTACAATCCTTAAACCACACAGTTGAAACAGTTAAAGTTATTATTATTTACCTAGTGTATCATCAAATTCCTGATGTTCTGATTGCTGATGACTTGTTGATGGTTGCGGCTCTTCAAACTTCCGAGCATGGCTTGATTCTTTTCCATCCGATCGCCTCTTTTTCGGGAGAGGTGTCCTATTGTGCACTAAAATTCCACGACACGATTCACAAATACGCATTGTTACATCCAATTGATGATCAAAGCCCCATGAATGTATTTTCTCTATGAGACTTGATGATAAATTACGTAAATTATTGCGGCTGCAATTGGGATTGTTTATGTTGGCACTACATTGCACCCTTTTAATAATCAATTCAGCAGATTTTTCCATTGTTGTATATATAAACACTTTTTCGTTTCAACAACTATGCAGCACTACACTTTCAACAACTATGCACTACAGCAACTATGAGCATTGTTGTGATATCACCAAACTTAAATATTAGATTATGTCGGTAGAAACAGACTGCGGTGCTTTAAGTGTATACCTTATATCTCTCATGTGACTACCTGCGTTGTTATATAGCTGCTATATAGCAGGTAACTTAACGATTATTTTAGGCATGCCTTAAATAATCGTTAAGTTACCTGCGCTATTATATGTATTCACTTGAGAGATGAGGTATAAACATATATGCATATTGCTTACTAATGGACACACCTAATGCATAAAAATAAATGAATGATTATTTTTCTAATTAAATTAATCACAAATACATGAATTGAAATCTTTTCATGAATAAAACATACTAAGTGATTTTTACTTAGTTTACCTGTTGATTTGGAACAATTTGAGGGTGGTTTTATAGAAGTTGGATAGAGTGTATGCATATATTATAATACAATCCATCACAGGAAAGTGCAAACCATGCTGAGATGGCTGTTCCTCATTAGAACGTTTTGTTCTGAACTCTTATTGGACGATTTGCAGGTAACTTCTCTGTACCCTTTTCAAATGTTAGGCTAGATTTCGCCCAGATTATCGAAAAGTATACCCATAAAGTTTAATCGAATTTTAATAAGGTTGTGCGCGTATTACTATTCGACTTTGAGTGAAACACGCTAAAAAAAAATTAACATGAAAAAGTTGTTGTTCGAACAGCTTTTTTTCCTTAAAAGCGCCCACTTTGCGATGTATGAAGAAAAGTTAGGTAATTATATTGCCTTTCATGAGAAAAAATATCAAGCAAATCTGAGGGGTACCATTTTTGGGAAAATGACTTTTAATTTTTAAATTTTTTTTTTTAGAGTGTAGAAACCGATTTTTTATTTTATTTAAAAATTTTTATAAAATTTCAGATTATTTGCTAAAAGTTCGCCATACATCACTTTTTTGTAGGGCTTGTCATTTTTAAGCTATATCGATTTGAAAAAAAAATCGACAAAAAACTTTGACCCTTATCAAATGTTAGGCGAGATAAATTTTGAAAAAAATAAGTACGCAAAGTTGCTTAAAATTGCTAAGTCTCCACACCCACAAAGTTCCATAAGGTTCTGAGAGGGTGCTGCCAACCACTGGATGAGTTGGCGTGAAATCCGTCATCTTCTACTTGTAGCTGAGTTAACACAAAATGTCCTATTTTAATTAAAATGATTTTTGTATGTTTCTTGTACAAACGGAAAAATTTCCTCTGGGGCCATTATCGCTGTTAGTTTGTTGTCGTGGTATTTTTTCAGTGCGTCAGTTATAATGTCTGCGTCAAATGCATTCCTACAAATTATAGTCCGTTGAAAGCTGGTAAATGGGTTTTCCGAAATGTCTGTGTTTATCCGAGACTACCTGAAAATTATTTAATTCCTGTAAAAATAAATGGGTCGTTCTACACAGTGTATATAGTAGTCGTCCGATGAATTCGCGTAATGGATTGTGTTGCAATATGATTTGTTGTCCTGAATTTCCGCATTTGGTACTTCATTTTCCTGGTTTGATGCCTTGTTGTCCTCGTGCTCGTTACTCGGTGCCTCAATTCCCACCTGTTGTGTTTCGGTTTCCTGTGTGATTGAATCAATTTTAGAGAGGGAGGGGAGAAGAGAGAGAGAGAGAGAGAGAGAGAGAGAGAGAGAGAGAGAGAGAGAGAGAGAGAGAGAGAGAGAGAGAGAGAGAGAGAGAGAGAGAGAGAGAGAGAGAGAGAGAGAGAGAGAGAGAGAGAGAGAGAGAGAGAGAGAGAGAGAGAGAGAGAGAGAGAGAGAGAGAGAGAGAAAAAGAGAGAGAGAGAGAGAGAGAGAGAGAGAGAGAGAGAGAGAGAGAGACCACTTTTGTGCCACTAAATGCTCAATACTCACTACACATTACGAGGATTTTTTCCTAACCCGGTCTAATAAGCAGCCACCAATTATGATTTTTTATCATATCTCAATAAATAATTGACCTACAGACCACCGTCAACATACGCATTGATTTACGATCATCATTTTCGTAACTATTCAACACGATAAACAGTAAAAAAAAACTTACCATTTTCACATGAAAGTTCACGGACATGGATTCAATATCGGTCTACTGTCTCCATGGATGTAACTTTGACCACTCGAAAACAGTCAGTTTATGGTTGTTGGGTTGGGGAAAGTTTCCCCTATTTGTGTTCGATTGGCCTGGAAAGAATCAAGGCCGTAGCCAGGTTGCGAGCAGGGGAGAGGCGAATTTTTTTTTACTATGGTAAAATTTGGCCGAATGCCATTTCACCGAAAGCCTTTGTGTTGTTGAGGATAGGAGGGGGGCCATTTTTCTTGCCCCCCCCTCTTTGTCTACGCCTATGGAAAGAATAATCAACGTTTTGTTTATAAAATTTGATAGCACCCCGAGCAAAGTCCAGCATCAAAATGACAGCAAATTGAAATCAAGTTTTGAAATCAACATCATAATTTGATTTCAGCTTCGCAATTCACAAATTCGATACCAAATGTTGTTTTCATTTTGCTGTACATTTACTTTTCAAAAATATGTTGTTGCGGGTTTGTTTTCATTGCCTTAGCATAACATCAAATTGAATACTTGTTTTGTTATCAACAGGAAAAAAATATATCAAATTTAGTTTTCAGTTTGCTCTCACTGATAGCAGAAATAGTTTTCAATGATTGTTTTGCTCTCAATTTTGATATTTTAACCGTTAAAACGACCAAAACGACAGCAACCTGAGTAATCATTATCAGCGAAATCACAACATCAAATTTAGGTTTCCATTTGATCCCAGACTTTGCTCGGGTACCCTTTCAATTGTTGGTCTATAATATATTAAATTGGTTCCGCTTTTTGATAGATCGAAATTCTATCCGCCAGACTATAAATATAGCGACTAAAGTTTACATCCCGTAACACTAGATATGTCTATGAAAATCCTGAATTTTTCTAATCCGAAAAAATCCTAGACCAAACCGGAAATTGAACCCAGCCACCCCACCGTCAGTGTTGTCATGCTTTCTCTAATAAAAGTAATCATAAATGAGAGCTTAACGACGTGTTCGGGGTATAATCCAAACCATTTGTGGGATACTTTACCCATCCGGGATACAGTTCGTTTATGGTATTTGTTTATTAGGGTTGCAGCTGTCCCTTTTCCAACTGAGCTAAGAGAAACAGCATAGTATTTTTTTCTTTCAAAAAGGCGCATATACAGAATTAATATTTATATTCAGAAAAAGATGTATATAATATTATGAGAGACAAATTAGCTGAAGACATCATTTACACTATTGAATTTGGCCCTACTCCCTTCTGTGCTTGAAAACGAAAACGAAAATATTTGAAATAGATCACAATTAAGATTAATTTTGAATCACGGGTCCAACTTTATCTAAAATATAGGAAAACATAATTTTAAATCGACTTAGGGACGTAAAAATGCATGGGAAAATTAGTCAAAACATTCCAAGTTAGGGAAATATTTAGCTAGAAAGGGAGCAATCCCGAGCAAAGTCTGAGATCAAATTGAAATCTAAATTTGATGTTGTGATTTCGCTGATAATGATTACTCAGGTTGCTGTCCCTACTCCCTTCTGTGCTTGAAAACGAAAACGAAAATATTTGAAATAGATTACAATTAAGATTAATTTTGAATCACAATGATTAATTTTACGGGTCCAATTTTATCTAAAATATAGGAAAACATAATTTTAAATCGACTTAGGGACGTAAAAATGCATGGGAAAATTAGTCAAAACACATCAAGTTAGGGAAATATTTAGCTAGAAAGCGAGCAATCGGGAGCAAAATCTGAGATCAAATTGAAATCTAAATTTGATGTTGTGATTTCGCTGATAATGATTACTCAGGTTGCTGTCGGTTTGGTCGTTTTAACGGTTAAAATATCAAAATTGAGAGCAAAAAAATCTTCCTGTGACATCACATTGAAAACTATTTCTGCTATCAGTGAGAGCAAGCTGAAAATAAAATTTGATATCCATTTTTCCCGTTGATAACAAAACAAGTATTCAATTTCATGTTATGCTAAGACAATGAAATCAATCCCACAACAACAAATTTCTGAAATGCAAATGTGCAGCAAAATAAAAACAAAATCCTAATACCTATATCAAATTTGTCAATTGTATAAACTGAAATCAAATTATGATTTCAGTTTGGTGTTGATATCTAAACTTGATTTCAATTTGCTGTCATTTTGATGCTGGACTTTGCTCGGGATGTTTGTAATATTGAATGGAATTTCAAAACCAAAGCTAAGGAAAATATTGATTTATAGAATATTAAGTAAGGGAGAGTTGACACAACAAAAATACAGCATAATATAGCACAATTGGTTTATTTTTTCAAGTTTCGTAGCAACATAAATGCTTGTTCCTATACTATTAATTTAATTAAAACATCACCAACTTTTCCGCTTTAGCCACCTGCTGCAGAAGAGCTATCTTTGCTTAGTATGCAACTTGCATCACAATTCTTGTTCCACTCAGGATATCGAACAAAGAAAACTATTCGAGGTGTAGCGATTGATTGGTAAATTGTTCGGTCGTTGAATAATTAAAATATTTGTATAACGTATTTATTCTACTACATAGGTATGAAACCCTGTGTCAACATATTCGGAATTCAGTGATTGTCAGGCAGTGGTTTGCTGCAAATGTCCTAATGAATCCACCAACAAGACTATGCGAATATATCCTAGCTGCACCGTCTCCGGAAATCCGTTCGGTGTTTGGCAAACTAGTCGTATTTTTCTGCCACTGCGCCGCCAATGACGACCCGCTTTCAGGATTTGATGGAAGCAATTTGTGTGAACAGGTGCTCATTGCCGTGTTATCGCTGCTAAAAGGAGATGTTGCTGACTACGGAAAACATCTTCCACAATACTTCAATCTGTTTAGTTTATACGCAGGTCTCGGGATACATGAAAAACAACAATTGATTAGGGTATGTATTTTTTGTAATTTAATATTGGTATGTGTTTATTGTTTTTCATGTGTGTTGTTTTTTTGCTATGTGTACAGCTAAACGTTCCTGCCATATTTATGAAAGTATCATTAGACGAAGGTCCTGGACCGCAAATAAAGTATCAGAATCCAGATCTGAGTAAATTACATCATGTAGTTTCGCATTTGATTCGATCCTGTGACGTTTCAAGTAGGTGCCAGAGCTCCAACAGTGCCGTTCCAGTGAAACCAAATATTTACATTGATCCGCATATAACTTATGACATGTTGATGCCTATTTCTCCGGAGTGTAACGAATACCTCTTCAATAAAGTAAGGTACATTATCACACAACCATATTTGGTAAAATATTTATATACTGTCAAATTTTATTCAACACAATTACCTTTCAGTTACGTCAAGCGATTAATTGAGGATACAAATATAGGTGAAGAAGGAGTGAAATTGCTACAGTATTGTAGTTGGGAAAATCCTCATTTTTCTCGATCATTACTTACGGAACTACTGTGGCATTGTGGATACGCTTACTGGCATGATATGAAACACCATACTGAACTGCTGTTACAATTGCTGCTGATAGAAGACTCTTGGCAGAACCATAGGATACACAACGCTATTCTTGGTAAGTATAAATTTAATGAATTTAAATCGTAAAAAAGGTATGAAGATGCATTCATTTGTGGTAGAAACTCTTCCAGAAAAGGTAAGAGTCATTAATCTATAGGGTCTGATGGGCCAAGAGTTCCACCATAACAATTGCATGTTCTATATATGCCAAATATTGAATATTTATATGAGTTTGTAACCGTATTGTAAGTTCATAACATTGCCTTCATAAATCAGCAAATTAAATCTTGGTGAAAACGAGCTTACTGAAGACTTAAATACACAATGAAGCAATTTCTTTGAATTTTAAATATTTTTATAAATGTTGGGGTGGCACTCGGCACCTTTTAAGAAGGTGATTTTTGAATAATTGATGATAATATTTACCTATTCTTTGTTTTTTATTATTAAATACTTTATTTGTACAGGCTCAATCGAATAAACGTTACAGAGCCGAGTTATCATTTTCGTTATACATTATTAATGTCTTATATTTAAATTTAAAGGACCTGGATCGAATACTCGCGGTTGTCTCGAGGTTAGTGGAGAGTTACAATTTTTTGGAGGGGAAACGGGAGAAGGATGTTTGAAATGTGGTTTACGATACAAATATTTAATTAATCCTAAAACATGAACTTATTTCTATTCATCTTGAAAACAAACATTAAAAAATAAAACCCACACGTACAAAATACAAACTAAAGACAAGCTTAATCAAACTTACAATCTAAGATTAATATTCTTAAGGTAAGCATATAAGAGTTTCATAAATTCCAAAGCGCGTCTAGCCTAAATATCCCGAACTGGAACATTTGGTTGTCTACCTCGAGCCCGAAGGGAATCGTACAGCTCAGATCTGACTCCACGATGCTCAGCACAAGACCAAATAATGTGATCGGCGTCCTGGTAACCTTGTCCACATTCACAGAGACTGCTATCCCCCAGCCCAACACGGAACAAGTGAGCGTTTAACGAATAGTGATTGGACATGAGGCAAGACATCAGACGTATGAAGTCTCGACCCACCTCCAACCCCTTGAACCAAGGACTCTTCGACACCTTACGGATGGTCGAGCCCTTTACTGCATTTATTTTGCCAGCTGGCGAGCGACTTGACACTCGTAAATATCGCCTTCCATAGTGCCCACCTTAGCAAGTGAGTCCGCCTTCTCATTGCCCGGAATCGAGCAATGAGATGGGACCCATGCAAAGGTGATGACAAAAGATCTTAAAGATAAAACACTTAGAAGCTCTCGTATTTTCATGAGAAAATACGAGGAGTGCTTTACCGGCCTCATGGAGCGAATAGCCTCGGCAGAACTGAGACTATCCGTAAAGATAAAATAGTGATCTGGTGCAAGTGAGGCGATAGCAGTGCTGAGTTGCATCACGGTACTGATAGCCTTTAGATTGACAAAAGATATTCCTACGGTTAATAATCAAAACAACAGAGAACCCTCTCTCCGTAAAACTTCTCACCAGTATGATACAACAACCGTGAGATATCGTTTTTTGCTTTTCTCACTCATTCGCAATATCACTAACATCTATCATGTGGTACCATCATATCACCGAGGAAAAATAAAAAAGACATATGAATTGTCCGTCATCTCATTTCGAGCATAAATATGGTTATGACGGTCATTCCTCTTCCAAAATCACGGATAAGGCGATAGTTGGGATGTATCAAGGAAAAAGTATTACCAGAAATTATTATTGTGAGAATTCATATCTGCATGAACACGTACTACCTGCAGTCAAGAATGCTTATTCATGGATAGAGATTTTGCAGCTATTTATTTTTCCGGATACAGTGACGCTTGAACTCGAATAATAAGGATGCTGACCGCATATCGTATCCACATTACCGAAGCCCAAGTATCAAGCTCTCTCCTTGTCATTCAATCTAACTGTCAGGGATGGCTTTGATGAAGACGGTCTAGTGAGGTAAAGGTGTTGCCAAGTGATATGCTAGTTGACCGTCATTTTTTATATGTGACGGTGATATGAGGATGACTGTTAAGGTACAATAACCGTTATGATAATGCACAGCACTGGGCGATAGTTTCTAGTGTATAATGTATTGCTGCCAGCTCAGCAACATATACGGAACAAGGAGCTTGAAGCATTCGAGAGGCCCTATGAAATTCGTTATAAGTAACCAGCGGACGCCTCTATTAGTAATCCATCTGTGAAGAACGATCTTGCGGAACCAACTTGGCCAAACTTTGCAGTGTATAGACTTCTCTAACGTTTGTGAAATGCACAAGTATAAATGCAGTACTTTGGGTAAATTACTTGTGCAATTCACAAACGTCAGAGAAGTCTATAATGACGGAACAATCATGGAACGATGATGTTCTGGGATTCCGCGAATCTATTGCGTCATTGATAAATCAAAACTAACTGAATTGCCGAAGTCGGAGAAGCATATACGATGAGGATTATGCTGTGAAGGGCTGACATCCTGTGTTATGTACACGTAGTACAATGACATAAAACTACATTCAAAGTGTTTTTTATGTTACTTCATACGCGAAGTTAACGATTTTCAGAGTTGGTTGGAAATGCTAACATGAAGCTTTAGTGTGATGATTTATTAGCTAGAGAATGATCTTTAGAAGAGGGTAGGTGGATAGTTCCGTTAGAGTACGGCTCTTCTAAAGATCATTCTCTAGCTAATAAATCATCACACTAAAGCTTCATGTTAGCATTTCCAACCAACTCTGACATAAAACTAGTTTGAGGGTTTAGCTCAAGAAGTGAGTCGAGTGCTAACGCGATACGAAGACAACGATACTGGATACGTTCCAGTTTGATGATATGTGTTTTAGCCGCCAACTGCAAGCAAAAACTACCGTACTCTAAAACCGATAAAATCGTTGTCCGGTACAACGTTAGAAGATTTTGCGGATGAGCTCCCCACCACGTTCCGGTGATTGTTCGGAAAAAAAATGATCTTTTGTTGGCATTTTCGTCTCAGATACTCAATGTGGGATCGCCAGGTGCATTTGAAATCGAACCAGACCCCAAGATATTTGAAAGACGTGGAATGAGTGATCGCCTTACCCAAAACTTGAAGCTTCGGTTGTGCTGGGCTACGCTTCCTAGAAAAAACGACCAACTCAGTTTTCTCCGTGGAGAATTCGATACCTATCTGGATAGCCCAAGTAGACAAATTGTCTAAGGTATCCTGTTATGGTCCTTGCAGGTCGACCCCTTTGGGCCCTGTCATAGACACTACACAACGTGTAGTTGTCACTTAGACAATTTTCAATTTCTCTGACGTAGAAATTATACAAAAGGGGGCTTAACATGAGCCCTTGTAACTAAATCGAGTTTCCATGAGAAAAGCTCATATGTTTCTCTGACAGCAAATTGTACAAAAAGTTATTAATTAATAGAGAAAGGCCACAAGCGTGGAGTTTGTCTAAAAGAACTTCAGCTGAAACTGAATAAAAAGCCACTTTAATATCCAAGAACACAGAAGCCATATTTGCTCTTTTTATTAGCAAAAGCCAACTGAATTTCTGTGGAAAGCAACGCTAGACAGTCGTTCGTTCCCTTGTCCCTACGGAAACCAAATTGAGTATCTGAGAGTATGTGGTTTATTATTTGGCCTGCTAATTTGTCCAGGCGAAAAAGTATCATTTTCTCCAACAATTTTCGAATGCACGATAACATCGCGGTGGGACGATACTAGTTATGATCTGACGCGGATTAACCAGTTTTTTTAATGGCTATAACTCTCACTCGCCTCCAATCATCTGGAACAATATTGAGCTTCAGGAACTGACAAAACAAGTTCAACATGCGCCTCTTAGCGACGTCTGGGAGGTTCTTCAACAAGTTGAACTTGATCCTATCAGCCCCCGGAGCCGAATTGCGACACGAAAGGAGCGCGAGTGAGAACTCCAGCATTGTAAAAGGTTGGTTGATCTCGTGTACTGAATTCGACGTTTCGCGAGGAATCATCTGTGCTGGCACGGAATCAGGACACACTTTTCACGCGAACATGAGAATCCAACGATCCGAGTACTCCTCGCTCTCGTTGTTTGAAGACGCATCCTTCGAGCCGCGTTCCAAAGCGTATTTATTGTCGTTTCGCGCGATAATCCGTCCACAAATTGCCGCCAGTATCCGTGTTTCTTGGCTTTTATGAGGCTCTTGAGTTCGCGTTCAAGAGACGAGTACGCTTCGTAATGCTCGGGTGTTCCACGTTTCCGGAAAAGCTTAAACGCGTCGGACTTTTCACGATAAACCTCTGTGCATTAAGGGGAAGGAGGTTACCTACGAAAATACCTTCCTGGAACCGGCCGAGTTTGAGCTTGAAGCGCGTTGTCCAATATCAGTTTGGAGAGGAAGTTATATTCCTCCAACGGTGGAATCGATCACAGTCTTGAACTTTGTCCAATCGATATTACGGGTGAAATCGTACGCGAGGTTCTATAACATTCCCCAGAATGTACCATTCCCTAGAAAAGCATTCTCCAGAATGTACCATTCCCCAGAAAAGATGATGAAATTAGTAATTTTCACTTTCTTTTTTTATGGATTTATGTATTTATCAATTCCAAACCATTTTTTAGCTCTTTATAAAATGACAACCTTCAAGTTTTCGAGCACTTCGTTCATCATTTAATAAGTCAAAAGGTCTATTATGCAATCCAATTCAACCAATCGAAAACTGTTAAACCTTATCGAAAAATTGTTCGACATGAGTTGAAGAATTTCTTGTGATGGATTAAAAAATCGGTGCATGGAACGTTGAACTACCGATTACAAATTTATAACATTATTCCACTCGTTATTATCCCAAATGGTCAGAGACGAACCAGCCCAAGGCTAAAAGTCTCTTTAATAAAGAAAAAAAAATAAAAAATCCCGAATGGTCCTTACCCCGAATCCCTTGCGAAAAGCTATTGATTATATATTTTCTCTTTTATATATTCAAAGAAGGGAATATTCCCTTCTTTATCGTTTATACAAAGAATTAATTATTTCCTTTTCTTATAT